ACCACCCCTTCTGATACACCCCAGGATGCCATTGGCCTTCTTGGCTGCAAGGGCACAGTGCTGGCTCATGGTCATCCTGCTGTCCACCAACACCCCCAGGTCCTTTTCTGCATGGCAGCTCCAGCCACTCGTCCCCAAGCCTGTGTCACTCTTTGCCTGTGGCAGGTCACCTCAAAGTTTTTTTAACAGAGAGGTGTTCTTTTTTTCTGCATTTAATTTTCCTTGTTTTGCTAAAAGTAACATGAATAAATAAATAACCTGAACAGTGCTATTATGAGGGATCAGCAAGTTAATTGGAAAGATGAGTGGAAAGTGATTGTCCCCTCTCCTGCTGAGCACCTGCTGCCCAGTTAATTCAGACAGCATTGCTGGAAGCATTTCCTGGAGAAGTTTCCCACTGTTTTGTCAGTTATGGGGAAGCGAGATGTCCACAGAGAGGAGAAAGCAAATTAGATAATTGCCGTTTATTGCTAATCAGCTGCTAGGATTTATTTTCAAGTTCTGGGAACTGACTAAAGTGTCAATCAGAGAGTCACCATTCTTCAATCAAGAGTCTCATCTCCAGCAACACCAAGGTATATTTATTTTTGGACATAACAAAGAAGGGGGAAGGAGTTTGCTGGTAAACAAAATTCAGATTCTCAAGGCAATATTGAGTACTTGCCATCCACTGGCAAAACAACTTGTTCATTTCATTTTGCTTTTCCTGTTGACTACTTCTGATTGCCAGTTTCTTCCCCAGCACAATAAATTCAACTTCAGTGTAACACAGCAGGATTTTCTTTTAAATAAACCCTCTGTTAAAAAAGGAAAGTTTATTCTCTTCTCTCCTTGTCTTGCATCTGTTCTTACATAGCACTAACTATTCAACTGTTACAACTTCTTCGACACTTAAATAGTTCAGCTAATGTCCCAAATATCTTGCTTTATCGATAGACTTCAAGTCTTTCGAACTCGAATTGATAACCATTACTGGTTCCAGGTAATTTCTTATGCTCAGCATAGCTTCAATGATTGACAGAGATGGGCACTTTATTTTCTCCATCCCTCCTCCTCCTTGCTTTTTCTGCTCTCTTATATTTGTCTCTTTATAATACTTTTCATTTCTCACTTTTTTTTTTTAACCCTCTGATTCTGGCTTATTAGAAAATGCTGAACCAAGCAGAGTAGCAGCGAGTGTGTCAGAAAGATGGAAGGGATCTGAAGCTGTCACTAACAAGAGCAGCTTCTTTATTTTTATTTCTTCCTAAAGCAGGTGCCTTACATCTTTTGCGTATCTGTAAAGGGCGGAGATGCTCAGCGTGTCAAACCTTTCCTCCAGCTTGGACAGAGAAAGACTGTACTAGGCTTATAGAAAGGAACAGATTTCTAAAGCACAAGAAGTCATATGTAATATAACTGTAAAAGTCATAGCATTATAGAATTGTTTGGGTTGGAAGAGACCTTAAAGATCATGTAGCCCAATCCCCCTACCAAAAAAAAAAAAGGAAAGGCTATGGAGTTCTGAATAAATGACTATAGATGTGACACTTCTGAGGGGGATTTGTCTCAAAGACAGAAAGAGCTGGGAACTGAGCCCCACGGGTTTTTTTCTCTATTGAGAGGTTAAAGTAAAAGGACTAACTATGCAACTTATGCTGAGATATTTTTTAATTTTGCAGGAGAAAGCCAAATGGACAAATAAATTTATTTTTCAGTGTTTGAAAATGGGTGGGTGCAGAAAAGGAAAAACCCTATCAGGTACACATTACATTAGGTGTGGTAGTCACACTTAACTTTGGTAAAGCTGTACGTACTGATATTCAGGAAAACTTAGCTACAATATAATTTTACTAACATAACATTTCCCTTTGTTCCTTGCAGTTCAGCTAGAGAGCAAGTATGACACTGGAAGTGGTTTAACTTGCACACATGTGTATTTAAATCTATAAGACATTCAACCAAGAAGGAGGAGTGCAGTTTTTGTTTTATTCTAAATGTGTGCTAATTGTTGACTTAAAACACACTTGACTTTTCTACTGCATCACAGTGGCACCTGTAACACTGGGTGTCATCAAGGACTTTGGTCCTATTTGAGTTGTCAGAATTCTTAAGAGCTTATACCTGAAATTTATCTTCAGTAAACACATACACTTCCTTTAATTTTAAAAAGGGCACAATGAAGGACTAGACTATTTATTTAGCTCCAGGGTACCATCAGTTTTGATGTGACTGTTTCTAACTTGAATTGATAAAAACCTCAGGGTTCCTGGAAGTAAAAATCATTAGAAATCCTCTTTGTTCTGCAAAGTTATCATGAAGTGATCATATTTGTATTGCTTTATAAAAGAGTTGATTTTTTAGGTTGATCTTCATGTGTTATGTACTCCAAATGCTTTGAAAAATTCTGAAACAATTACAAAACCTGCAATATAAATTATACTGAGAACCTTTCTCGGCTGCATAAGTGTGATTGGTAGGTGATTCCACCAGGAAGAGAAACAGTAAGACTGCAAAATCAAAGACCCTGAACTTCAGTTGAATTTCTTAGTCACTGAATGGGAAAATAAACTTTCTTTTTTCTTTTGTATGAGACAATTACCCCATGTCCTTAAATATCAAATAATCTTTCTTCATCACTGTTTTATGGCAGTAATGAATCACCTATAGGAGTTATTTACTGGTTGATATCTTGATATAGGCTCAGGACACGATAAAGTTTAGTTTATATTCTGTAACTACCTTTATTCCTTATTAATATGCCTCCTTACTAAGAAGGACTTCAAGAATAAAAGACTGCATTTTAATTTTTTTTTAATATGAAAAATGTCTTTACAGTATTGGCTTCATCAATGTTTTCCTGTTCTCCCTTTTCTGCATATCCCTGTCTTTTATACCTTGTAAACTGCCAGCTATTTGGAGCACACATGTGTCTTTCATGTTGGGGCAGCAATACATGCTGCATAAATACCATGGGCTGTCAGAAATGTTCCTGGTGATCACAGCTAGCACAAATTGAACATTTCTAAACTATTTCCTGTTTTCAAGTGAGTACCTGACCAGTACCAAGATCAAAAAAGATAAAAAGCTTTCTTACAGTCACTATATGTATGCGCAGACACATGTTTTCATGCACTTCAGGTACCTTTTTTGGTTTAAAATCAAGTATCTGGTCTTCGTGATATCTGTCATATGAACACTGCCTGTCTTTCAAGTCTTCTCTTCCTTATGTCTGCTTTATAACTCTCAGGGATTTCTTTCCCTCCGTGGAATGTTTTTTAGTGATTGCATGTGCCCATTTTGTAGCATAAAAGATGAGGAGGCATACTTTTGTTCACAATATTTCAGAAAAATGAACTTTGGTAGCAAAGGTGAGGAGAGGTTAATGAAATGAGCTACAATAGCCTTCTCCCAAAAATTATGTTCAGCTTTATTTTAAAACTGTCATTGGATTCCTCAGTAACACACACACATATTCCTTTTCTGTGTGTCTGTTGGCATCTTCTTATTAATTTGTGGTGTTATTTTTGCTGAAAGAATACAAAAAACCAAGCCAGTACAAGTCAACGTGCACTCTGTTAGCATATAACTCATAATACTGAATTATTTTTTTTAATTCCACAGAATAAAGCATTTAAAAGCAAAAGTGAATATTTAAATAGGTAAATAAATCAGTATTTTCCATATTTGATGTGCTCATTAATCATGGTTTTTATCTAAGCATGCTGGCATATACAAGATCATCGATATTTGAAAGTATGTTTTTAAATGTCTAGAGTTTATAATTCTTACAACTATACACAATAGAATCTATATGATTACTGTAAGTAAAATCAACTCATTTCTTAACTGACTGCAATGATCAATTACAAGTAATAGTGTTTTAAGTATCACATGTACCACAAAATATGTAAGTATTCGAAGAGTTACAATGTGATGGTGAACTGAGTGACTATGAGAGGTTTAACTGTGTATGCGAAAGAGGAGAGAAAAAGCATGTATAATTAGTGAGTTAAAAGTTCAGCTTTATATACATAGGAAAGGCAAATGTCTGTATTTCCTAGTAAATGGACTGGCACAGCCATATTCATTGTTGTGTTTAACTTTAAGGCTAAACGGGCCTTATGGCATCCTGTAAGAAATTCAACTTAGCACCTTACAAAAATGGTGTTGAACCACTACAAAGAGGATAGAAGTTACAACTGCATTTGTGCAAATGCCTCATCTCCCCATCCTTGTTTTTTAACTACCTGTATTCTTCTGGCCACTCTTACTAGTTAGGTGGATGGTCCCTGTGTTATAAGAGCTGATAAGAAATAGCATTATGTATGGGTAAGACGCCGTGTAGTCAGCATGCCTTTAAGTTTATAAAATTAAGCATCTGCATACGTATGCAGAGGTAAGAATGGCTGCCTTCGTGGGAGACACGTTCTGTTTTGGTTCATTTTATGGTTATAATTGATGCCAAATAAATGTTTAGATTGCTGAAAATTAGGCCTACGATTTTTACTACACTCAGGTTTTCTGTTGTTTGTCTTTATATTGCTCATTAATAAAAAAGAAGAATCTTTTATAGCAGGGCAAAATATTTTGCAATTTGTGCTTATAATGCATGGAACATTTGTTTTAATTGATTAATGTGCTTTATTAAGTTTGTGTTACTTTTAACATTTCATTTCTTTCTTTGTTGTACTGGTTTAATTTTTATAACTGTGTGACTTGAAAAACAGTGATGAATCATGATGGGAAGACATCTATAAGGATGTATGCAGAGAAGAAACGTTGCCATTATGATCATACCACACAACACAAGAAGATACATAGGTTGCATTCATTCATTTAAGGCATGGGCAGCTAGACAGAAAGGGGAAGGATTTGTGTCACATGCTGTCGAAATAATGAGTATAATAAAATAAAGTTCATATGTGTTTGTATAGAGGAATTCTGAACGCGTTAGGAAAAGGCTGTGGGTTTAGCAGTTATTCTGTGTGGTGAAACAATGCAAATTTTCCCTTTTCCAGATAATACTCTGAGCATATTGGCAAAGCATAGTGGATTCAGCCGGCAGAAGCAAGAAGTATATCTACTGCCTATCATAATAAGTGATAGTGGGAATCCTCCCATGAGCAGCACTAGCACTCTCACTATTCGAGTCTGTGGTTGCAGCAGTGATGGTATTGTCCAGTCCTGTAACGTTGAAGCATACGTACTTCCCATTGGACTCAGTATGGGAGCCCTAATTGCAATATTAGCATGCATCATTTTGCTGCTAGGTATGTATTCATTTCACAGTCTGGTGTTCAAAATTTTTTATCTTCCAAGACTTGTATGAGTTTGTATTCTGGATTGTAATGTCGTAAGAGACATTACAGTTTTACAAGATAAGAACTGTATATTTTAATAAAACATACAAAATTTGTGTACCACATCAAGCAAGTGAGGGAGAGAACAGTGAAAGAAGAGGCCTATTTCTGCACGTTGCCGCTTAACTTTGTACCTGAGATTTACATCAGTAACTGAGATTTAAGCATTAAGCCACAAAGCCAAGTATAACTAATTTAGAGCTTTTTATGCATCTATCCATGATTCTGAAACTGATGTATCTAAGCTCTTTCTCCCTTACTGTCTCATTCTCTTTTCAGTTACATAGCGTGAGTCTATTTCAACACATTAAGAAAAGACACCAATTTTCTTCTGTCATCAGGACTGGTTTCAGAAAAACAGCCTCTAATTTTGGAAAACTCCAAGTATAATGTAGATAATTATAGACTATGTTCAGTGTCTGATGGTAGCTTGACTTCACCTAGGTTCGTAACTTTTCCAAAGTTAAAAGTTGTTATCTAAATTTGAGGCTCAAAAATGGAAGTATGCAAAATCTTGCTGCTTATACAAAATTGAGCTTCAGATGTAAATATGAACTGAAAATAGAAAACTAGAGGACTAACCAGAGCTGATCAAATTTTCATCACTTCAATGGGGTTGAAGTTACAGGTCTTTCAGCTTTTCACTACCCTTATTACTCTTACTTTCACAAAAAGCAACCAGTCACCTTCCACAACTACACTTAACATGTAGTGCTTTGATTGGAAATTTTTTACCTAATAACCCTGTGGTGCTTTCTTTGCAGTCATAGTGGTGCTGTTTGTAACACTAAGAAGACATAAGAATGAGCCTCTAATCATCAAAGATGATGAAGATGTGAGGGAAAATATTATTCGCTATGATGATGAAGGAGGCGGAGAAGAAGATACAGAAGCTTTTGACATTGCAACTTTGCAAAATCCAGATGGAATTAACGGATTTTTGCCTCGTAAGGATATTAAGCCTGATCTTCAATTTATGCCCAGGCAGGGTCTGGCACCTGTTCCTAATGGTGTTGATGTTGACGAATTTATTAATGTAAGGCTTCACGAAGCCGATAATGATCCCACGGCTCCACCATACGACTCTATACAGATTTATGGCTATGAAGGAAGAGGGTCAGCGGCCGGTTCCCTTAGCTCATTGGAATCCTCTACATCAGACTCAGATCAGAATTTTGACTACCTCAGTGAATGGGGTCCTCGCTTTAAAAGACTTGGAGAACTTTACTCAGTTGGAGAAAGTGACAAAGAAACTTGACAGTGGATTACAAACTTTTTCACTGTTGATCTTAATGATCATGTAATATTCTAGGGCCACTGCTGTTAGTTAAAACTAATGTGGCTTTTTGTTTTAGAGGCAAGTTTAGCGCCAGTCATCTATAAAATCAACTACATTGTAATGTTGAACCAAAAAAAAAAAAAGTATATGTTAGGAGGTTAAGTTTTGTGGAGTGTGAAGTAAAGTATGTGGAGTGTCTAGAAGTCTTTGGATATTTGATATTCACTTGACCACTCTGAAGATGGAGATTTGGATCTTTGATTATCTTCAGTGAATTGAAAAGATTAAAAAGAAATTGGTGCTTTCTTAGAAAATGGACTTGCAGGGATTCTGCTGTTGAACAGTAGCTCCTGCCAGTATGTGTAAACCTAATGGTTTGTTTCTGCATTGCCAATAAAGATCCCACCACAGAAATGTTAAAAGCAATATCTTGGTCTTCTTAGCAATGCTGAATAGTAATAGCATTGTAAATTCCTACTGGCTTCTACTGTGCAGTGACCATACATTGTACATACAGTAATTTTTGGCCACATAACCACAGACTGAATATCATTAAATATTGTGTCAAGCCTTAAAATATTCACATGTTCTTAATCCATTCCAGTGATGGGTAATAAATCCTACTAATGTGCAGAGAATCAGAGACAGGGCTACAAACCCTTGTTTTACAAAAGGATCTTTTTTCTAGAAGGATCAATCCTGTGCTTCGTCTTCTGAAAGAAAAAACTGTGACATGGAATGGACTTACATATATGAAAGAATTGCTGATTTTATTGCTAAAGATCAAATTTATTTGTTTAATCTTTGAAATAAATATTTTATTGATGTCCATTACTGCTTTTATTTATTAAGACTGATAATCTATAGAGTAAGACTATGAAGAAAACTAAATTATATCAGTTAGATTTCTTTTCTATGTATAATGAATGTTTAATACGTGTAAGTTTTGAAAAGAAAAATGACAAATTGTTGGAGGTTAAAGCAGAAACCTCTCTGTTTGCAGTAGCTGAATTTTAGGAGTATACTGGCAGGAATAAAACTTTCCCAGAGAAAACTTTTGACAGTTTTATATCTTCTTCATAAATCTAGTACCTGGTGTTTTTAATACAAGCACAAACAGCTGGAAGTAAACTGGTTCATGTGAATATTTAAACTATAGACTTTTAGAAATCCATACATAACACAGTACAGTAAAAAACATTCTTCTAGTTCTCCACTGTATTAGAGCAGGAACCAGTGTGTACATAATTTTACTGCTTATGTTATTAGCATTTGTTTTCTATAATATTCATAGTGATGCACCAGGGCTCTTACACAGAGAAAGAACAACACTAGAAGCTGCAAGCATACTCAATTTGTAATCCAAACTTGCCATTTAGAAGTAGCAATTGTATAATAAAACTACGTATTACATGCAAATCATTTTAATTTTCTACTTTGTTTTGAAGCTATATTATTGTTTGTTTATTTGCTCCATGTATTGTATTCAGAGAAACTCCTGTATTGTTTCCTACTTTGTGAAATATATTTTTATAAATACTTTTCTTGTTACTGCTTTTCTTTCAGTTTTACTTGTACACTGCAGAAAGGAATCTGCCTAAATAACTTCATAGTTCATTGAGGAATGTAGTTTCTTCAAAATTATTAGTTGAATAGAGACAAAATAAAAATGGATAATGTTCGAAGCAATTTTTGACAGTGTTTGCAGAATTGGATTTGCAGCAGCCTATGATCACAGGAATTGTGTGTCTAATTCACTGCATCAAGCTGAAAAATAACCTCACACATTTTTGTTAAAGTACTGCTAGTAAAAACAATCCTCTCTCTTTAAGCTCCTCAGTAATGTTTGTTCTGCAAACAAAAATGTCATAATGCAACACCCTGAATTTTGCTTGTATTTCAAAATGGAAACATTTAGTTTGCCTTAGCTGTGACATGGCTGGTTTTAATGACTGTAGCTTGCAGACAACTAATACACTGACACCACGTCTAAATGTATTATAAAGATTTTATTGAAATTAGTGAAGGTATCCAATTCATTTAAATTAGACTGCATTTTAAAAATTGCCTCTGAATAACTTTATCTAGCAATTTTGGTAATACCATAAACAGTGAAGTCATCTAAAGATAGAAAATAAGCAGTCATCAAGATTTCAGTGAAATCAAACATATTTATGTAACAGACTGTCATAACAGCCAAACACATTCTTACTAATCACTTGCACCAAGTGTCGGGGTGTTCTGATTTACCATGCCAAATGTAATAGAAGTGTAAATGGAAGAGTCTGATTCAAAACTTAGGCTGAGCCAATTTCTAGTCTACATCCCAATGCTAGGAGCAAAGGAAAGTGCTAGTTCGGACTATGAGTTACAGTATATACTGTAGAGTTTTGCAACACTCTTTTGTAAGAAAACTCACAACTGCATAACCTTCTGATTGCCTTTTTGATTTAAAAGTTCCATCTGAGTCCATGACAGCGCATTCAGCAATAAGATTTGCAGAAAAATAAAATCCCATCACTGGCACTGTAGGAGAGGCAAAGCATGACAGAAATCTCATCATTGTCAGTCAAAAAGAGATAGTAGCTACTACTTGTGGGCATAGCTGTAAATTGTGCATTTATAAAGGTTTTAAACATAAGTATCTACAATGCAAAAGGGAGAAAAAGTGATGAATCTGTGATCTGTCGATAGCAACATGTTATTCTTGAAGTCATTGCTACCCCACTGAAGGGAAATGATTAATTCTGCAGACTAATTCAGTGTAATTTGAATATAAAATATATACCAATACATGCTAGAGAGTTAAAAGTTGCTCATTCATTTTTCCAGTACTTGCTCCTTTCTTAACAATGAAATTAATTCAGTATAAAATTGTTTTAGATAACAACGGTATTTAGGAGGTTTAGAATCATATCATTCTACATTTCACATCTAGATTTAGACATATTAGTAACATTATTTTTTAGCATGTAAAATGGTAATTCATCTTTTTCGACAACATTTAATTAGCAATTGACTCATTGTAAGTGACAAGGAAAATGCATTCAATTAAAACTCTTAATACTGATAAATTTGAGAATTGAATCCTTAAAATCTTTTACAAGTGCCAAGCACCTTAGAGTCCCACTGATTCTGGCTTGCCTTCACCTAGGTGTGTCTCATACTCATTTGTGAGAATTACTTAAGTAAATTATCCCACACATAAAAGGTGGAATTATAAATTTTTGACCTGGACATTGTTCAGCTCAGTCATTTCAATATGCAAGTACTGTGAAGTGAATGTGTGTACATGTTTACTAATTAAAACTCAAATGACTAAAGGTCTTCAACATGTTAAGTCCTTTACAGTAACTGAAAGCATATGCTATCTGTGTGCTATGATCTTGAAATCAAATAATGGAAAGCTCATGTAGACACAATACATTTTTCACCTGGTATCATTTATACCTTTCTGTCTATGATTAATTTGAAATGACTGTGAAATATACAGGAGAGAAAATGGCTGAAGTTTTTAATTTAAATCAGCAGTTGCTGATCACAGGAGATATATTTAACACTATGGCAATTCCAAATACCATCAACTATGGGGCAGCACAGCAGTAACAATTCTCAACCTGGAGAACAGCCAGAATGTCTGCAGAAGAGAGTGTTCAAAACAACTTTATTTGTACAGCTCTGCTAGAAATGGACCTGCTGATATTAATATACAGCGATAAAGAAATTGACTATACTATATCCATGTGGTTGCATGTACCTATGTATGTATGTGGCAAATTTTTTAACAGCCTGCATGGTCATTGAATTCTAGAAATGGATAAACAGGCTTAGGAAGCTTCTCCAACGTCTGTCCACCTGTAGGAAACTTTGGCAGGTAGTCTGTTTCTGTATCTGATTTTCTCAGGATATAATTTCAGTCTTAATTGACCTATTTGACATTTTCTCTCCTTTTCCTTGCCCCTTTCTCCAGCAGTTCACCTATCCAGAGCATAATGGGAATATAACGTTAGAAAATAAGTTTGTTAAGACTGCATAGCTCTTTTTCAGCTGTTTTCAGCTGGTGTGTTCAGTAACTGGAAACAAGCAGGTAGGCTTGAGTAGTTAAATGCACCAAGCTCCCTTCCTTCTGTTTTATGATCCTAGTTGTCTTTTTAAAAACAAACAAACAAACCCCCCCCAAACAAGCAAACAACAAGTAACTGTATGCAAGTGGCTTACTTTTCAGATGTAGTCCAAAGAAAGTATTGTTAGTTGAATGAGATCAAGTGTTGCATAAAAGAAATAAAAAGCATGACTAGAAGCAATACAAAAAACTGTCATAGGAAGACTTAAAGTGTACAGTCTGGGTTACTTATACCAAAGGATTGTTTCTGTATTTTAAATTACATTGAAAAATCTAAAGCCAATAACAGTGCTTTTTAGTTAATAGAAAGAATATTCAGTAGCATCACATATTCACAAGTATTTCTGATCAAGGAAAGCGAAAAGAGATTTCTAAAAGATTATTTTTCAGTTTTGGAAAGTTTTCAGCAGTAATAGGATGTCCTAGTAAATTGAAGCTCACTAAAAGGAAAAAAATAGATAGATCAATAAAAAAATAGTATTCACTATTACTAGAGTTTGCTTTCAGAATGTACCAGTTGTCATTAGCAGCAGATGGACAGTATTGATGGAAGCTTTCTGTAATCTATCGTTCAGATAAGTTGGACTTGTATTATTTCTACATTTGTACACTATTTGTGCAAGATAATATTCTGGCTTTGCAGAAGGTGGAAACCAATTTACCTTGCTGTATAATTCACTGTGATGGGTTTTGTAATCACATTGCAAAATGAGTCTAGCTGCTGTATTATGCAATACTGATACTGGCTTATGTGCTGCAGAACTAGTCCCTCTCCAAATAATGTCATAGTATTCTAAATGAGAAAATATAAAAGCCCTGACAATGCTTTCTGTGCAACTGCAACTAAGACATCTTCCAAAATGGCTAATAAAAGCACGCTGAAGCACAGAGTTTCTGGCAGAGCCTTGTAAATGTGCTCATTAGCATTGCAACACAACTACTCCTTTTTTCTCCTCCTGCTCCACCACATTGCAAGAATTAAACCAGTGAAGTGAACAAAATTAAAATTTCAGCCTTCTCTTCAGAAGGGTTATGTAATAATATACAAAATTTCCTCTCTTCTCCTTCCACTATTTCAGGTGCTTGCTTGAATGAAGTCTGTATTATGATGACAGGCAGATAGAAGGGATGAATAGAGGTTACCTGTTTCATTACATGAATGGAAAAAGCATTTATGATATGAGGGCCGTAATACTCTCTCCTCTAGGTCTTGTCAAAATAAAAATCTTGCAAATATTCCTCTAGGGAGTTTTCATCATGCCACATATATCCAGGAAAAAGATCCTCCTCAATGTATACAAAATAGAACTGTTCTTTTTCTGTGCACTGCCAACGAACTGCTTAAAATCTAATACTGGCATCTCAAAATCCTATTCATCAAATGGACACAGGCCAGCTATTCTGTGGTAGATAACTCTATACAGACTCACTCCATGGTGCTTATGAACACATGGTTTTGTTTCTTTACTGATGTGGAAAGGTTCTCTTTTGCAAAGTTTGGAATAAACAGCCAGTAAAACAGAAGGCAGGTAGCATGGATAACTGATGCTAAAAGGATGGATGATTCTGGAATGGATCCTCATTTTCTATCTTACTTGGATCTTTGTGTTGTCTAAGTCTGGCCTTATTTTTTTTTTCCTTTAAAACATTTTTTTCACAGCACAAAAGTCAATTCCTTGCTCTTTCTAAGAGCTTGGGTTTTGAATTATAAAACAAGTCTTATGTCTGGGGGGCAGAGGGTGGTAGGGAGGTCTTTTTGTAATTTCTTTCTTTGTTAATGTAACTTTCACTGATGGCAACCCTGACACAGTTTGTTCCGTTAAATTTCACAAGCTGGCAGCTTTGATAATATGAAAATAAAAGTGTGCATTTTTTTTTAAGCTGAAATATGATTTATATAGTTGGAAGCAAAGAAAAACCAGTTGAATCACCTTTAAAATAAGCTCCAATCATCTCACATTTCCAGCCACAGATGTGATCACTTTTGGACTAATTTTCAAATACACTGGTATACCTGTATTCACATGCAGTTGGTATGAGTTTTACATGCAAGGGAACACCTCAGTCTCTTTAGACATTGTTGAGGAATGTTTCCTATATTTTATCAAAACCTGTGTCATTATTTAAGCCTATGGACAAGGAAAGAAAAGGTTTTTATACTCAAAAAACATATGCACAAGTAGAATTCAGAGCTGAATTCAAAGTTCTGGTCCAGTGTCTCAGCTGTGAGATACAGCAAACTGGACAGCTGATTAGAAGTAAGTAACAGATTATTGCACCAATACATACAACCTCCCTCCTTCACACAACCAGGAGGTCTTCTTGTAAGTATCAAGCACATGATTATTTCATAGGTTACGAGAGGCAGGGGTTATTCCAGCCTCCTGCTAGGTAAGTTTCATGACAAAGTAGTGAA